AGCGCCCCCCCCCCCCCCGCTGGGCAGCTGGCAGCCAGGGAAGGGAGGCCCCCATGCAATGAATTTTGTGCTCTGGGCCTCTAGTAATATACATATGCTCCTAATAACAGAACCTTTACATATGTGAAAGTGACAACTTGACAGAATTGAAGGGAAAAATAGATAATTCAACAACAATAGTAGGGAGACTTCAATCTCCCACTTTTAATAATGGATAAAACAACTAGGAAGAAGATCAGTAAGGAACAATGAAATTTGAACAACACTGTAAACTGATTAGACCTCCCAGACATCTGCAGCACACTCCACACAATAGCAAAGTACAAGTTCTTCTCAATCAAGTTTACATGAAATTTCTCCAGGATGGGCCATATGTTAGGCCAAAATAAATTTAAAAGAATTGAAAATTTGTTCTCCAACCACAAGAGAATAAAAGAAGGGAATTTGGAAAAGTCACCAATGTGTGGTGATTAAACCACTCCTTGCAATAAATAACGAGTCAACGAAGAAATCACAAGAGAAATAGAAAATAGTTCAAGATGAATGAAAACAAAAAAGTAAATCCTGAAACTTATGGGATGCAACTAAACCAATGCTTAGGGACATTTTATAGTTGCAAATGCCTGTATGAAAAAAAAACCTCAAATCAATAAACTTTAGAAGCTACAAATTAAGAGCCAACTAAACCCAAAGCAAAAATAAATAAATAAATAAATAAATAAAAAGCCAAAGCAAGCAGAAGAAAGGGAATAATAAAGATTAGAGTAGAAATTAATGAAATAGAGACTAAGAAAATGATAAAGTAAGAAAACAGAACCAGAAGTCGGTGTGTTATTTTGAAATGATCAACAAGATAGGCAAACTTGTAGCTAGACTAACCAAGGACAAAGCAAGTAAGAATACCGAAATCACTAAAATCAGAAACGAAAGAGAGAGAGAACATGACTACTGTTCTTACCAAAATAAAAAGTGTTATCAGGATATGATGAGAAGGCCACCACTGTGATCTTAAAAACTCATAATACCAGTCTCACCTGAGAAAAACATCAGACAAACCCAATGGAGGGATAGATAGCCTGCAAAATACCTGACCAGTCCTCCTTGAAATTGTTAGTCATGCAAAATGAAGAGAGTTGCTCTGGCTGGTGTGACTCAGTTGGTTGAGCATCATTGCCAGAAGGTTGTTGGTTTGATTTCTGGTCAGGGCACATACCCAGGTCGCGGGTTTGATTTCTGGTTGGGGTGCATACAGGAGGCAAGTAGTTGATGTTTCTCTCTCACATTGATGTCTCTCCTTCTCCCCTCCCTTCCTCTCTCTACCTCAAAAAAATAAAACATAAAAACATATTTAAAGGAAAACCTCTGAGAAACTGTCACAGACCTGAGGAGACTCAGGAGACGTGACAACCATGGAAAGTGGGATCCAGGAGCAGAATGAGGACACGAGTGGGAAAACTAGTGAAATCTGAAGAAAGTCTGTAGTTTTTTTGAAAATTTATACATTATATAATTTGTGTTATTTTATATTCTAAATATATTATTCCTATATTTATATACTATGTA